GACGGAGTACATGGTCTTGACTAGCCGCGAGATATCTGTGAAGGGTAACAAGTTATCGTTGAGGAGCGAAACCAGGGTCACAAGTGCCTGCATTGTCAGACGGATCTGGTGGCTGGTATTGTTACTGTTGGATACGTCGTCCCAGGAGGCAGTGATTGCATCCAGGATCGAGCGCATTATACCCGCCGACGGCTTAGGCGTTGCATACTTGGTGCGCCCAGTTTTCGGAATCTGCACAGGAGTGCTCCTCGACTGGGCGGTATCATTGTTGGCCTCCGACATAGACTTGATGACTTGTTCCGTGACAGCTTTTCGCATCTGCCAGTCCTTCACCAGTAACACGAAGAGAAGACAGGCGACAAGAATCTCTCCCTGAAGCAAGCATGCATTGATCAGGCTCTCATACATCCCCTGAGTCCGGCTGTGCCCGTGCTTTCTCGCCTTCATGAAGAGCCCAAGGGCTAGTCGTGTCGTCTGATCGGTCACCAAACCAGTATGAAGCCTCAGTACTTTGGCACTTTCAGGGAAGCGAGCGAGGTCGAGGAGAAGGCGCTTCATCTTCACACCCTGCATCGGGCGTGGCTGCACTGGGGTGGTGAGGGCATCGATAATGGCCTTCATCGTAGCAGCACGCAATTTGATACCGCCATCCATCATGACATGGGCCTGCGTAGCAGCTCTCTTGGGCAGCCCAGAGCGTATGAGACCATGGAGGATGCAATGGGCAGCAAGACGTGGCGAGATATCACGGCTGAAGTCGATGGGATCGGGCAGTTGGAGCAGCCGGGGCGGGATCTGACCGGGGGACTTGGACTTGTGATGCGCAAAAGCCATGCTGTTCAGGATGAAGAGAGCATCTCCTATCTGGCCCTCTTTGAAACACAACCTGACCGCTTGCGCGGCGGCTCTAGATATCTGTGCATTCGTGAATTGACTGGGACTAGGCTCTGGAAGAGCTTCAACAGCTATCATGCCAGGCGCTGTTGCTTCGGGTGCACCAGCAAAAGCGACAGCAGATGCGGCATGCAGTCTAGATAGAGTAAGGGTAGGAGAAGCTAGCGGCCAGAGGCGACGAGGGGAAGGTGAGGATCCGACCAGCCCGTAAGGACGAGGTGATATATGTCGGATGATGTTTCCCCAAAAGATAGGCTTCCTGCCTAACGCCAACGCGGCATGCGAGTGTGGTCTATGGAAGACATTGGCAATGGTAGACCGATTGCATTGCATGAATCGAGCATAACTGAATACAGCCGTTATAATCCGACTGTACCGGACAGAGGGTCAAGCTCACCAGGCCGTTCAACCTAACCTGAACTAGCACAACTCGACCTTCTTGCTAATGTATGGATCCCTCCAGAGAGAGCAATGAGTGCGACGTCGCGCAAGGGCTCTCAGGGACTCTCTGCCTCATCGAGCTCGGCCTCTCTCGGTCTCGACATTCTGCAAGGACCACGTGATCCATCTTGTTTAGGCGACAGCAGCGGTCCGCTCTGTTCGTTGCAAGTTTGCCTTGGTCAGTGCTGTCTGGCATCTTTGGTGTCGCAGTATCAAAGGGGGAATTGATATCTGAGTCATTCACTCATGAGCTACGAGCGTCCTTACAACAACCGGAGGCGGAATCGAGGTGAGGGAATGTGTATGGGCCAACACATCTTGCAGTCCAAACGAGCGTCATGGACTTCTTGCAGATGACTATGAGCGACGCGAAGCGTACGAGACACCGGAGCAAAAAATAAGGACAGCAATCATTCGACTGGGTGAAGTGGTGAGTGTGCCGTGAATCTTTGTCCATGCAGGCGACTGAACAGCAAGTCAGGATGTTATTCAAGAGATTCCTAGAGTAGCGAAGCAAATTAGAGAACAGGCCGTCGGAAGTGTACCAGCCATTTCAGAGGGGTTTCGAATAGGGTATGTTCGCCAAGTCTCAGAATTCACACCCGCTGACGGGCTGCCATAGTGTTACCGAGCAGCCCTACAAAATCCCATATTACGCCAATCTCCTTCGCCTTCTACATGATCATGCAGACGGAGAACAGGAGTCTTCCACTAGCGGCAGTCCATCCCTAGGCAAACAAATACTGGAGGATTTCTGGAAAGGTTTCCAAGCGTTCCTGGATAAGCTATCATGGAGAGAAACTCGTCTATGCGTCAGTATCCTCTATTCTCCAAAGCACCGGGAAGCTGAGCTTGCACTCTGACTGTAGATTCACTTCTTTGCACATCTCACTATGGCAAAAGTCATCTCGGTACAATCCATGCTCAATCTCTTGCAATCCTTTGTAGCTGTCCTGGATGAATTCGGAGTCTCCCATGGTCGGGCTAAGAGGGCAGGCTTGTGTGCGGCGGAAGGGTTGATGATCGTACGTAATGAGTGGTCCCCTGTTACCCATCCGCTAACAACCTGATTGGAGAACAGGCGGGCAAGACTCTCAAGGAAGCCTCTGTGACGGATGTCATTGACATCATCAATGCTATTCAGATATATGTGGAGTCTGCTGCATCATCAAAACGGCTTGTCCAGCCAGTAGCACAGTTTCATGCAGAACTCGATAGTCTAGAAAACGCTGACGAGGTTTGCGGGTTTTGTTGTTCTCTACCGGTGTAAGGGTCTCATATATTTCACATAAGCTGTTGGAGTCAGCATTAGCGGTGCTTAAGGCACTGAATTCAACCGATTTCGCTGAAAGCGTCAACAGCTACCCCCAGCCCTACGTCGACCTACCAGACCTCCCGGATGGCGCTGCAGTGTTCGAGCTGCCATCGGTGCTCGTACCGCCCGAAATCATTGAGTTAGACGGGCTCTCCGCTGATACGGGCGAGGAAGCTCAGGTGAAGAAGGAAGAGTGGCCCGAATATTACATTCGGCTATTCGACAACGAGGTACGCTCCTTTCACCCACGATGTCTTGTGTTCTGACTGGCGTGTACTAGGTAACCCCTGACCCGGTCTCCGCAGCTGGCTATGCAGTGAGGTCTGCTCTCCTGGACATAGTCGAGATATTCGAGGTCAACCGGAAGGAATGTGCGCGATTGCTGCTCGAGTATCCAAAATGGACATTACCGGGGACATTCAAACCGAGACCTGGGGCGCCTGTGGATTTGCAGCCGGAGCCCGTCCCAGGCAAGAACTGGCAGCTAGAGAGCACGCTCATGGAAGTTGGTACCCAACATATCAGAAACTCCGCATCACCTAACCAGGGACTATAGATTGTACTCGGCGCTCTGTTCGTCCTACCGGAGTCAACTTACAAAGCTATCTATTATATCGGGCTGATCACGGAGATTTGTAAGCTTTCCCCGTCTACAGTTGGACCTGCGGTAGGCAAGTCCATTCGCAAGCTGTACGCGTCGCTCGCGGACGGATTAGACGTCGAAGTTTCCCGGCGCTTCGCAGAATGGTTTGCCATTCATATGAGCAACTTTGGGTTCCAGTGGGTCTGGAAGGAATGGTTTGCCCCTCACTTTTTGCTCCGGATGCAACACATTCATTTTGGTGTTCGTGTTTCTATTTGCGCAGGGTACCGGACTTGTCCCTGGCACAGCAACACCCGAAGCGTGGTTTCGCGCGCCGTGCCGTGGAGTTTGAGATTAGATTGGCGTACCATGAACGGATTGCGAAGACGCTTCCGGAAGCGTTCCAGGCTGAAGGCGCGCATGTGCTGCCAGAGCATGCCCCCGGCCCAGACTTTGAATATGACGAACCTTGTGGGTGGACATGAATTGTAATTGATCGATAACTGACGCGTCTGAGTACTGTAGCGAACCCCCATCACAATGCGGCTCAAAGCGTGCTGAATCTGTTTAAGGGTCGTGCAAAGGCCGAAGACGTTCTCGCTCATCTGGAGTCTTTGAAGACAACTATAGGTGAGACGGCGGACGGTGACGTGAACGTTGACGCGGTTATCCGCTCGGTGGCCGTCCAGTCGCTTCTGAACATCGGCTCCCGCTCCTTCTCTCACTTCCTCAACGCTATCGAGCGTTACTTACCTGTTCTCCGGAGCCTCGCCACCGGCGGCCTTGAAGCCAAGACGGACATCCTCACCGCTGTATCTCTGTTTTGGAACAGAAATCGCCAGATGATTGCAATCGTGTTTGACAAGCTGATGCAGTATCAGATCGTCGACCCCACGGATGTCGTCGGCTGGACGTTCACAAACGGTGTTGGCAACGAGAGGGGTGACTCAGAGGGCCCTTCGGCTATTAACGCACATGATTGGGACTTGTTGAAAGGCGCGCTAGACAAGGCGAACGGGCGCGTACTCGTTGCGAGAAAGAAGGTAACGGCGTTGAGGAAGGAGGAGGACGACACGCGAGCTAGGGCCAAAGCGAGCGGAGGTGATGTGACGTCCATGGAGGTTGACACCGAGACCAAGCTGGGTGAGTACCCTTTTTCCTTCACGCTCTCATGCTGTTGATCGTTTCTCATAGACGAACCTCCCGAGTCGGCTGCACTCACCACAGCTGTCAAGGCCTTCACCAGTTTGACGTCTCAACAAAAAACCGCCTTGGCGCGAGCGCTGGATGGATTCATCGCGTGCTTGGCTCCTTTGTCTTCCGACAGGCGTGCTAATCCTCACGCGCACGAAGTCCTTACGGAGAAGGCATGGCATAACCGTGCTAACTGGAGTGACGAGGAGTGGAATGCTTGGGAAACCTGGGGCTGGTATAGGCACTTCTGCAGAGCTGTAAGGTGTCGCTCTTTTTCATACGCACCCTGCGGCTAACTGGTATTTCCCCTTGTTTCTTAGTACTCGCCATACCTGCGGAACTATTCCACCACGCTTGGCACCGTTTCACTAAAGAAGTTTGAGGGGTCCACAGATCCAGCTGCGCTGCAGATCATGAAACTATGGAGCGTCGCGACTGGAGAAGAGGCATGAATGATTTCCCAGACTGGTGTTCATGATAATTCTACTGTACCTATTCTTGTACAAGTTTCTGTTCGCTACTATCGTACAAACCTTGTGTGTATATAGTGATGTCCTTTCTCTCCGTGTTGATGGGCTGGTGGCGCAGTTGGTTAGCGCGTCTGCTTTACATGTATTACATGCGTCGCAGAAGGTCTTCGGTTCAAACCCGGATCGGCTCATTCATGGTATACCTGCTGTTATTTTGTCTCTCGAACCATGGCCGACCGGTCCAAGGCGAACAAAACCTCTTTTATTATTATTTTAGACAAGCGATGTGACCAGGCGGCAATTGACGATAGGTCAAACCCGACCCAGTCCGCTAAACTGGCCCTTGGTTACTTGGTCCGAGCCGAAATGCTTTTTACGCACGACCTCCGGCGGGCACCTGGAGTCTCCGTCGAAACCTCTTTTAACCCATACACATAGCATCGCAATACGTGTCATACGCAATTCAGGTACATCTATGATTCACTGCTGTAAGCCCTAGGATACATGCGAGTGGCAGTGAAGCAAGGCTAAATTATGGGGCGTTTATGAAGGAATGGGTGGGCATAATCTTGATATTGTTACAACAAATCCAGCAAAGTCCATAGTCAAACAACAAATCGACGCGTCACGAAGAAATAAAATATTAAAGGTGTGCGCTGTGCGCTTAGCATACAACGAATTAAGAAGTCGGCGTAGTAGTGTGCAAAGCATTAAAGTCTGTGGTAGAAAGTCGAACACTGCGTACAATCATCCGCAAACGTAAAAGAAAGACATTGATAAGGAGGGTTGGTAGTCGATGGGTGGATATCCCTGTGTCTTGCAGGACCTAGACATCAAGCGCGCCAGCCTGGGAGCGGAACATGACCGACTTGGAGTGGACGAGCCGGCGGAATGCGCTCGTAGTCGCCTCGGAGTGGTCAACGATCTCAACGGCAGGCATGGCCTTGAACACGTCGGCCTTCTCGACGCCCGAGCCCTTCGTCGCGGCGCCCCACATGCGCGTGAAGAAACCGCCAGCAGAGACCGAACCCTTGGTAGCCGCCTTGGCCGCGTCGTCGCCCGCGTCGTCTAGCTGCACCTGCGAGTAGGCGTAGGACGTCGAGCGCCGCGAAGCGACGTAGCTCGAGCGCGCGCTCGTTCGCGAGGAGGCTGGGCTGCGCTCGGCACGGACTGTGAGGGTGGAGGACGTCGAGACCTTTCGGCCCTGCCTGTATGCGCGCGAGGGGACGGACTTGAGCATGAACTTGGCCGCCTGCTTCGTGATGTCTTCCTCGAGCTCGTCTTCAGACGTCGACGAAGAGTTCCCGCTGTCCTCGGTCATATAGTCAGGGTCCGACTCGGTGCCGCTAGTGCCGCTGTTAGAGAAGCTAGAGGACGTAGACATTGGAGAGGGAGCCTTAGCATCAGAGGAGCGCGTCGACGAGGCAACGTTGAGGTACGTCTTAGAGAGGCGCTTAGCGATACTCTTGAGAGCAGAGGCACCAGCATCGTGAGGAGGCGTCGGTGGCATCTGCGCTTGACCGCGAGCCTTGCTAGCCTTGGAGACCTTCTCGACAGCGGCAGCCCTAGTTTCCTTGGACGAGGTAGGCAGGAAGATGGAGTAGGCCTTGATGGCCTCGGCTTCTTCAAAGCGCAGATCGTAGTCCAGGAGAAAGAGCAGCTGACGTTCCATGAGGTTGACCTCGGCGATGTCGAAGAGGTTAGCATAGGCAGTCCAGTGCTTGTTCTTCGGAGAAGAGTCATTGAGGTACTTGGCGGCGACAATGAGTGTAGCCAAGAAGACCCGGTGCCTAGTGCATGCCATACCTACTAAGAGTTAGTACCTAGTGACTATCGCAAGATAGCATATACTTACCCTTGGCCATCGAAGGCAACTTGGAACGCAGACGGTTGAGGTAGACCAGGACCGTCAGAAGCGTTGGGGTCTGAACATTGGACGACTGGACCAGGCGGATAATGAACTCCTCCAGCGAGGGCAACGCGGGGGTCGCAGGTGCTTGTTCTTGCTGCTCCTTCAAGGTCGCCTTGTGGGGCGTGTGAGGGGGCGTCAAGAGGGCAGGGATAGACTGTGGGGCGGGCTCTTCAGCAACGTTGATGACGTGCTTGCAGACCTGAGCGATGTAGCCTATCATATCGAACGAGACAGGCTGGCGCATGAGGTCGACAAAGGCGGGATCATGCTGGGAGCGGGGCAAGAGGGACGCAGGATGACGGCGGTCCGCAGACATATTAATGAAGGAGGGGATACCCGTTGAGGGGAGTGTATAGAAGATGGACGAAAGAAAGAAACGCGCGAGATGTGTTCGCGGAGAGGGTGTTTTTATACGCGTGGACAGACGCGAGGGGGTCAGGTGACCAGAGACTGATGCCAAAAGCGGAGGCTGAAAGGTGTGCAAAGTGGTTCGCAGATGGAAACCGGCCTGCCAGAGCGCGGAAGAAAGAAAAGAAATTTATGGCTCTCTACCGCAAAGCAGCGGTTTAAAAACGCTAAGGTGGCTGTCTCGGATGTCTCATGACTGAAACAGCGACGGGTGTCTGGCGGTTGACGACGTTGGCCGCAGTCTGCACTCGAACGGTCCCCAGTGTAGACTCCTGCATACGCTTCGCGGAGTTTGAAATTCTAACGTTCAGTAGACACGTGTTGGTCCGTGTGCGTTACCGCCGGCAATGCGTCGTGGCTCGAGTATGCGATGATGGCAGCGTCTTCCACGTTCCACTTCTTGTTCTGCTCGTTTGCAAGGTTTGGGTAACGTATAACTCTGCCCTTCATACATGTCTGCGGTGGTCTTGGATTGGTTTGCACCACTAAGTCTGATCTTTGGAGGCTGTTGCAGGTGAGTTATGACCCCTCTCTCGTCCGAACGCGTCCGCTAAGACTTGTGTCACAGTAATGCATTAACACTAGAGCAATTAACATCACAATACCCGGACTCGGGGCATCTCATTACATTTGCGCAATTCCTCCTTGTTTCCCTACGTGGTCTGCCCAATCTACTCGAGATCACATACCCCAACAAGAACCATGGACTACTTCCAATGATCCACGTAAAGAGACCACGAATACCACTAAGAGCATACATTATCCAAGTCATATTATTTCTATTCGTCTCTATCTTGAATAATATGGCGTTCGCGTACAAGATCCCGATGCCAGTCCATATAATATTCCGAAGTGGCGGTCTGGTCATCAGTATGTGCCTAGGATGGTTGGTGATGGGAAGAAGGTATGCACCATTCTTCTTTCTGTCAACCATTCAGACCTTGTCTTTTTACCTGAATCCCCTTGCCCTTTCCTAGATACACCCTCACACAAGTAATCTCGGTGCTCCTAGTCACCGCGGGAGTAATCCTCACCACCTACTCCGCCTCCCAAACCAAAACTAAGCCCAAATATGCTTCCACTACATCTACTACCTCGGCCCCGCACCGAGATACCCTGACCTATCTCACCGGCATCGGCATCCTCTCCCTCGCACTCCTCTGCTCCGGCTTCCTGGGCCTCGCACAGGATAAGATGTACTCCACGTACACTAGATACCCGGTCACAGTATCAGCACAGCGAGACAGCAGTGGGAAGAACGAGGGCAAATCGCAAAATCCCGGATCAAAGCCACAAAGCGAGAAACCCCAATGGCAAGAATCGATGTTCTACCTCCACTTCCTCGCGATGCCGATGTTCTGGTTCGTCCGGCAAGACCTCGGTGTGCAGCTCGCGAGCGTCACCTCGGGCCCGCGGGTGCAAGTGAACCTCAATCCAGCCTTCGTATATTCGAATTTCATCGTCCTCCCCAATTCCACCATGTCCAGTCCACCAGCCCAGCCCCAGCCTACTTCCCCGGCATCTTTGTCCGTCCCCGTGGGTCTGCTGGCGCTGATCCTCACCACTGTCACCTCCCTCATATGCATCTCCGGTGTACACCGGCTCACCGCGCGCGTCGCGTCGCTCACCGTCACCCTCGTTTTGACAGTGCGCAAGGCCGTTTCGCTCATCATCAGTGTTTTGTTCTTCCCTAAAGCGGGGGAACAAGGGGATACCAAGATGATGTGGGTCGGCGCGGCGCTTGTGGGGTTAGGGACGGTGGGCTATGCGATGGGCGGAGCGGGAGGGAGGCAGAAGCAGAAGCAGAAGAAGGATTAGAGGGGACTGGGTTGACGAAGGGTGTATATGTATGGAGGACTTGCATTTTAGAACCATGTTGTTGTTATATTTAGTGTGCTTATAATCTATAGTAGACCGAGTGCTCTCCGATGTGCTATGTTGCCCGATACAGACAGGGCGGTTGCTATTACTATGAGGCGGTCACAGCGAAGACCGGCGTCAATGCTGCCAATAGTATAATGTCAATGACAGGGTCAGATCAACGTAATTGATCTCATCAAGTTCGCTGTATTCCCTGCTGGTACATGTTTCTGCTATCTTCCCGATGCGCATTTTGATCCTTGAAGTGCCACCTTGTAGTCCATCTTTCACGTATCCTACAAAACCATGTCCCTGCCCGAGTCAGAGCCAGCCTCCTATAACATCTTCACATATGAGGCCGGTACTAAGCCACGTTTCCCGTCGAGCTCTGCCGTCCACCTACGATTCTAGCTTAGCAAGTAGACGATGACGAGAGAGATCTTTGTTAGTCTTACCAATCGTCTGATGTCCTCTCGACGATCAAAATCCTCTGCTCCGCTTTCAACGCCAAATCGCCAGGATCCTATGCAGATAGGACATCAGCCTGGTCCCACTAGTCTACGCCAAGCCACACGTCCTACCTCACTGGAATAATCATACAGCGCCTCTGCCCAATCCCCTGCCTCCTCCTCTTCCTGTTCCGCTTCTTCGTGTGGCTCGGGTTCAGGAGGAGCAGGAGATGACCCCGCCCTCCTCACCGGCGGTGGCCCGTACGTGTTCTTCCTGGGCGCAAAGGCAGGCGGGTTCGGCGGAGCGACGGGTGCGGGCGTCTTGTTCTTATTCGCGTTGGAGCTGCGGAGTGAGAGGAACATGTTCTTCGTGGAGGAGGTGTCGACATCTGAGCCGAATTTCTAGGGGGAGGGGATAACTAAGTTCAGTCACATGTACAGAAGAGACTTCCGGACGTACCTTGACCGAGGTCAAACTCGCTGTGCTCGATAAACGGCGCTCCTGCTCAGCGGAGGACCTACGCGCCGGGGATTTGCCCAGCGATTCATTGCTTCCAGCGTT